AGGTAGGCATCCAGACAGATCATGAATATTTCCAGAGAAGGGGACTTCACAATCTCTCTGGGCAGCCGGTTTCAGTGTTTTGATTTCACTGTTTTCACTTGCTTTCACAGTGAAGTTCTTTGTGTTAGTATGGAATTTCTGTGCTCCAGCTTCTGCTGATTGTCCCCTGTTCTATTCCTGCACATCACCAAAAAAAGTCTATCCCTACTGACTTGACCCTTGCACTTCAGATGTTTATAAGCATTTATCATATCCCCTCTCAGTCTTCCTTTGCCTACGCTGAGACCCAGTTTACTCAGCTTTCCCTTGTATGCAAGATGTTCCAGGCCTTTCATCATCTTTGTTGCCCTCCACTGGACTCTCTCAAGAAGTTCTTTTTTGAACTGGGGATTCCAGAACTGGACACAGTACTCCAGATGTGGCCTCCCCAGGGCAGAATTGAGGTGGAGGAGCACCTCTCCTGACCTGGTGACCAAGCTCTCTTCAATGCAGCTCAAGATGCCACTGGTCTTCTTGGCCACAAGGGCACACTGCTGGCTCAAGGCCAACCTGGTGCCCACCAGGACACCCAAATCGGTCTCTGCAGAGCTCCTCTCCAGCAGGTCAGCCCCCTAAACCATACTAATGCAGATGGTTACTCCTCCCCGTAAGTGTAAGACTCCACTTTTGCCCTTGTTGGTCCCTCTTTGCCCAACTTTCTACCCTGCCAAGGTCTCCCTAAATGGCAGCACATCTTTTTGGTGTGTCAGTAACTACTCTTAGCTTTCTATCATCTGCAAACTTGCTGATGGTGCAGTGTATTACTTCATCCAGGTCACTGGTAAGGATAACCCAGTAATGACCTCTGGGGAACACTCTTAGTTGCAGGCCTCCAACTAGACTTTGTGCTGCTGTAACAACTCGCTGATTTTCCCAACACTACAGAAAGCTACTTCAAGCTGGTTGGGTACAGGTGCATTTTAGGAAACACCATGTAAGTAGGTTTTAATCAACTGCACTTTCTTCTCCTGTAATCTGCAGAAAAGTCTCAGAGCACGAATTAAGGTATTGATAATAAGACTGTTTCCTACTTTACGTAATTCACTGGAACACAGCATCAGGCTATGAGCAATGGGCTTCCATTTTATATCAAATACACTGTATGTAGTTTTGAAACAGTAAAATAAAGCTTTCAAAACACCTCTTGTAGTGCAACAAACAAACACCAGAATAGAAAGTGTACTCCACAGTGACCACCAGCAACACTAGCACTCCAGAGAATATCTGGTAATATAGGATCAATTTTCGAAACTGCATTTATTTTTAGCCTTACAAAGGACATATCTGCTTTACTGTATTATGGCATCAACTTCTGTAAAAGTTCTAATTAAATGAAGCATTTTCCTGTCAAGTTGCATAGTTATGATTTCCAATGCAGGATTTTAAACTCAAGCTTTAAGAGATGGCCAAAAATATTTGTAGACATTTCAATTCAAGTATTTAAAACATATTTTTCTAAGTACTCAAATAAAGATCTGGCTAAGAGGACTGAATTCAAAATATGACATCATCCATTTAATATGCTGACTCTTCACATTTCATTGCACTTAGAAAATTGTATTTTCTAGTTTCACTCACAAGTTAAAAAGCTAAATGCTACAGTTTCTATTTTTGTTTTGCATCTGAAATACATAGTATGGACCACCTTCCTTAATCAGAAATAATGGATTTTTGGATTTTCCCCCAGTGAGAGCAGCACAGCATTATACAAAAGTGCAGGGTAAAAAAAAAAAAAATAAATAATAAAAAAAAAAAATAAAAAGCTAAAGTTGAAAAAATATAAAGCAGTCTTCATTTTTCTCAAGTGCAATGATTTACCTAACACGGAATATTAACATTTTCTACCATTTCCAAAGAAATGCTAGAGCAATCACTGCCATAAATTTGCAGAACCTGCCAGCAATTTTGGTAATGATTCAGATGATGAACAAATCAGTCCGCTAGAACCAGTCGGCAGCACAGCCAGAGCATTATTTTAGTGCTCGGTAATAACATAACAGCAGCAAATTGCTGCCTTATTCCTTTCAAAAGTAGAACAGTATTTTATATACCACTTAAATATGATGAACCACTAAAGTATTTTAAATCTTTTTGACCTGACGTGAATACAAGGAAAAACCATATATATACTAAAATACTGTGGACGGGATAGCCCTTCTGCTTCTTTTACTGCAGGTACTTTCTGCGGGGAAGTCACAGATACATCCTTACCGTAGTTGAGGGCTTCTGGGGCAGTCCATTTGATAGGAATCTGCTTTAAGCCTGATGATGAATACACTCCATCATCCTCTTGACGAGACATTCCAAAATCACTTATTTTCAGTATGTTGCTTTCACCCACCAAGCAGTTCCTTGCAGCCAGATCCCTAGGTTAGAACAAGAAACATTAACTCCACATTTTTACATATTTAAATCTACTTTAAACCTACTTAAGAGTCAGGGAAAATGTAAAGAAAAACATGAAACCATTTAGCAAGTCTTTTCTACTACAGCTCAATTTGCCAATGAAAGTGAGCCAACGAAAGTGACACAGATCAGGCTTTCAGAAGCCTGTGGGGAGACCACTAGAGAGTAGGTGCATATTTTCTGAAGGGACGGCAGTGTGAGGGGAGCCAACATGGGAGCAGGATTGCAGTGAGGAGGAAGGAGCAGCTGAATGGAGAAGCCAATCTGCATGTTAGCAGATCAGATTTTGTGTGAAATGAAACAGAATTCCAAGTACATGCCTATAACATCTTCCCACAGTTACAAAAGACACTGAAAAAAAACCAAAAAACCAAGAAAAAACAGTGAACTAGGTCTTACACCTTACATGTATTATAATCAGAATTGCCATTAAAAATAAAGCTACTCAGTATTACAGGAAAAGGCATTTTGGCTCAGTGACAGGTGAAAAACTTAAAAAAAATCAACAACCTCCCTTTCTCTCTCTCATCTCAAATACAACCTTCTAGATTAGGAGAGAGGCTGTAGTAATATCTGATAGAAGATCTAATGTAGCTTCTGTGCAGCACATGTTTGAGATACAAATACATGAAAATAATGTATTATCAATGCAGTATACATTTATTACATTGAATAATTTCACATTATATTAAAATAGTGAATAATGCCTGCTATAATTCCAGTCAGTGTAACAAAATACATACCAAGTTTTTTGGAGGAAAAACACAGTAATAGGATTGAATTGTAACAGTAGCTACAATTCCCGGGCAAAGTATTGTTAAAATAAATATACAGTGGATACTTTTACCTTAGATAGCTAATATTACATGGGAAATAACTACGTTAGCTTTCACATTTTAGATTGGAGCTGTAGCCATTTTGAAGTGAATCCCCTGTGCACACATAATGGACATTCATTGCTTTTGAAGAGTGATTTTGGAGCATGGAAACTAGATTATTTTTGAAGGAAACTAACCTGGAACTCTGCCAAAGTGTGCACCAAATTTGTGTCCATACTTACAGCAGGAAGAAAAGTCTGAACCAATGACAAACAGCTCGAAGCTCTCTGCATGGCAATGACACTCAGGACATTGGTCTGAACTAAATCTTTAAGTAAAAGTCTTGATCCATATATACAGGTGTTAGAGTTCCTATGTCTACAACTATTTTGATCAATTGATGCATACTGATTTTGCACCGCATTATTTGCTACGTACAGAACCTTTGTTTGTAGGTAATCATTAAATTTGATCTGAACATTTAAATTGCAGCTGACTCACACAGCTTTGCTGCCAGTAAGATAATTTATGCCTCTTGAGCGCCATGCTACATTATTACAAATTCATTTATTCTTGCAGTTAAGGAAACTGCACTCCTTAAAAACACATCTGAAATCATAGTTTGCAGCTGAAGATATGCACAAATATCTAGAACAGCTCATCATGTACCACTGTATATAGTTTAATGTTAGTATGGGATATTGCTCAATTCCAGTATCAATTTGTTACTGCTTATATTCAATTTAAATGTATCACCATGACATTCCCAGTATTTAAGGCTGAGGTTCCAGTTATAGTTCATCTAAGGGTTTTTTTTTGTTGTTTGTTTGTTTTTTACCATTTTACTCCATTTAGTCTAGATCTTGTGACAGTTGCTATAAGGTGTATGTTATATGTGAAAGAAAATTTACAGAGTTAGTTAAAACCATGCACATCTCCTTACTTGAGTCAGACCAGCATTTAAACCAGTTCCGAGTAAGATTCAGAAAAAGCCGAACACTGAGCTTTTGTCTTAAGTTTGTTCCTCATAATTTGGATTACTAGGGAAAATATATAGTAAATAGTATAATGCCTGTATGCAAAGCTCAATGCAGTTCCCACAGTTCTTGTCTGTTTCATGTGTGACAATTTTATTTATCTTTTAGGATCATCTAGAAGAAGTGTTTGTCATTATTACTAAAAATCTCCTATTACATTTCCAAGAAAATCAAACTGGAATATGAGAAGGTGGGTAAAGTTTGCAACTACCTTCTAGACATACATAAATTAACACTAGATCTTCTAAAAGACCGCAAATATAGAAGTGTTGGCTTCATGCAAGTGATTTTCAAGCTGTCTATTTTTTAGGAGCGGGTTGCAGAATGATACCATTCAAGCTGACATCCTGTATACAAGCTCCAAGGGAGGAATCACGGGCCAGTGGCTAGCTAATAGACTGCAACTTGTGAGGGTGGACACAACTGTCAAGTTCACCATCAATCTTTCTGGGCAAATTGTTGATGCTTTGTTTTTGTCAGTTACCCATCTATCACACACAGAAGAATTTTTATTGCTATCTGTAAGTGATGAGCCCCACACAAGACGGTTTAGCCATGATGGATGAACCTAATCTTCCCTTGACTGTATCTCAGCCACTCCTGTAACTGAGCTGAAAGAAAGGTCCACTACAATGCTTAGCAAGAGCCAAGTCATGAGGAGAGGCCTCTTGTCACTCAACCAATTCTGGAACTGGAGCAAGAAAAGGCTCCAGAAGTCCAGGAACTGGGCCAGTAAAGAGAAGCATGTGCAAGTCTAGGAGGGACTCTACACAGAACAGCCTCATTGGCAGGTCCAATGCTGCATCTAAGATGGGTACTCCCCTATCCCCTGGTCTTTACGTTTTTCCTCTCAAAGTTGCTAAGTAATGCAAAGCTTACTTTGATTTTTCATAAATCCACACAGTTTAGTTAGATGCACCTGTAAGAGAGCCAATGACTGCAGGGTAGCTGTTTTCTAGAAATCTCCCACTAAAGCTGATGTTTGTGTACACACATTTAGTGTTATTTCACCTTAATCTAACCATGGGGATTTGCAAATCTGTCATTCCTCCCTCCACACAGTTGGGATGTGCCAACCCCACCAAAAATTCTACTCCTTTGCACCTCTAGTACCTTACCATTCGGTGGAATAAAACAGTATGAGTACAGTATAATTCTCAGTGGTCCACCTTCAACAGCCTCAGGTTTTGAAATTACATCCACTGAAAACTTGTTTTTCAGGTTCTTTTCTCCCTTCTCTCTTGTAATTTCTTAACAGTGTCTGTTTATCTATTATATTATTTCATTCCTATGTCTTATAATGGCCCTGAAAGTTAGGGTATCTTGTTAGCAGTTCTGTTCTCATTTTACATCTCCTTCATCTACTGAATCATCCACAGTTCCTATTTGTATTTGCACACTTAAGAGCATATTAAAACATACTACATTAGCCACCTCATGTTTTTCCTTTTTATTCTGAGAGGTTGCTATGATTTTTCAACATATTCCAAGCAGCTTCTGCACTTCTCCTCATATCTGACATAAAGATGATATTCATATTTTCCTATCCCAATATGAGACAAATAATCACTATGATTTACTACAGAATTTATAGTGAGAATCTGAAAAAAAAAATTAAAGGGTATTTTAAAAAGTAATATGAAGTACTAAGTTACAGCTTTAATTTTTTTTCAGATTCCAGGATTCTAATTCATTCCACTTGATACCGATATAAGGAAAAAGCTCCAATATAACACTGATATGCAGTGAGTTTAAAGAAAACCCTTTGCATTGTAACCTTCCATACAAAGTACACACAATGGGGTTTCATTCAAGAGTTGTTACGTACGGCGCATGACATAAGTGACATGTGTACATGACATGCATACATATAATGTCTGTGACAGAAAGAGCTATGAAGTCATTACAGATAATTTCTATTACAGATCATTTCAGTTAGATATTGTAGTAACTCTTCACACTTTCTAGATAGCCTGTAAAAAACATACAAAGAGAAATCAATGTTCTATTTGTTTCACTTTCTTCTCCTGAATGGTCCCTAAAGCAAACATCCTGAAAAAGTGCAGATATAATTGCATGGAATTAGGTGCCTCTCTCTGCATGAGGGACATTGTTTTTCTTCCCATGCAGCATTTGCTAGTTGCTGCAGCAATTCCATAAAATCAGCATGCATCTTAAACACAGAAAATCAACAAATATTCCTTAATTCACATTGTGAAAGCTCTACAAATTAGGCACAAATTACATGGAGCTGCTATAGAACAAGTTCCTAACTAAAAGAGAAGCTATGACTATCACTGTTTAATATCATAATTATGGAAGTTCATAGCGCTATCAGAAACAATTTTTTTCCCCAACAACTAAAAAATAAAAATTGATTTGTAAATCAGAGATCTGAGTTTTAAGCAGCTCCTTAAATGCAAACAGGGCAATGACTACAAGTCACTAACACAGGTTGAATATGCTGAAACTGCTAGAGAGAGCTCATGTAAAGCTTTTACTAAGAATTCAATAGCAAGCCAAAGTGAAAGTAGAAGCAATTCCTCTGTGCTGAGAGTTGTTACCATCTGGATTCGTATCCATCAGAGAAGACATAAACCTTAAACTTTTCTCAAAGGACTCCACCTCTAAAGAACTACACAGAAATTGATACCTAGTATTTGAATGGAATTCCATCAACTAAAGAAAATCAAAAGAGTGAATTCCTCATTACTAAAGCAGCAGGACAGATTGCCTCTCTGAACTAATTAGCTGTTTTATATCTCCTCCCTGGATCATGCAGTTAAAATGCTCCTAAGTGATAAAAGCAAGTAATTAATTAGTGAACAGGATCAGTTTATTCCCTCTGCATGTTTAATTCAACCAATATAGTCCATTATCTGATTAAAAGAGAAGGGTTGTTAGCAGGTCTACACACTGATGTTTTTGTGAACTACTGACGTTACCCGTCCTTCAGCCACCAGCCTCCAAGATCCCTTGGCAAACTGTTGAGAAGAGTCCTACTATAACATCCAGTAACTACTTCAGCATTCTGGTAGTGAATCCGGTCAGATTCCACAGGCTTATAAATGTTGGGCTGTCAGAAATGTTCCCTTACATTTCCAG